CACACGCACACACACACACACACACACACACACACACACGTCACGCCCAATGAGGGTTGTTAAAGCTCCTATAGGGAGTTTGTAACCACGTGACCTGAAACTCCCTGGGGAGTTTAACAAGGTCATGTCGTTCATAAACTCTGTGATTAAGGAGGGGGCGTTTTACGATGACATGTGCTGAGTTCACTCCCTACCAGGGAGTAAATAATTGAGGCAGGGGAGTTCTGTGGGCTTATGTGCTGGAGAAACTCCCATTTCGGCTAACTTTTGCTTACAGTGTACGGGTCATATTGATGGAACGCCAGGCTGATGTTTTCCAACCAAAACCAAAACGCCTGTACAGGAACGCTACCTGTGCGGTTACTGCTCATGCGCAGTGGTTTTCCCGCAAATGGTCAATTCTGTGGGTGTCTTCCTGGTCCGGCACGAGACGCGAGCGTGCGTGTGTCTGGACGAGACGCAGCATGCGCAGTGGGGGTGTGGACGGCGCCACTGCCGACGCCAAAGTGCGACATCATGTGACTAAGAAATGCTCCACATATAAAATAAAGAAACTATGCGGCTCTTCTCAGCGTGCGCAACGTGGTAGCCTATCTCCTTTCAAGGTTGACCCGGTTAGCGCCGTTTGCAGGCGCGGCCGCTAGGTGGCGAGCGCTCAGTTGGAGTCGTGAATTGCGGCGTATACTTCTGTCCTTGTATGTTGTTAGACACTTGCGTCAACGCCATCATTGTTGAATATTTCCCGACGTGTGCAGGCTTTAGCGCTTTTCAATAGATCAATCTGGTTCCCAGGCTGACGCATGAAGAGGATTAGCGTCTCGCCTTTGACGAAGCACTTTGACGAAGACCCCCTTGATCTTTTATTCTCCGACGCGTTCTGCAGTTTGCCTGTCGGCCTAGTCTGGGAGCTTAGGGCGGAAAGCCCAGACATGCAAATTGCCTCGCCTTCAGCAGCCAAAGCCGGGGCAACTCGGGAAAAGAGTTGGCGCTGAGGCAATGCTCGCACATAGCGTCTTGCCCCATTTTCGCACATATGAGGGTGCGGGGTGTAGGGTCGAGATGGAGGGCTGGAATGATTACAGGATACAAGAACAGCTTGCAACAGTTTTGGTGCATTGTTCTTTCTTTCGTTACTTCTGGCTTAGGAGCGACACATGGCGGCTGTTCGCTGACAGAATATGTTGAGAAAGACTCAAGACGTGTGATTACTTCGGAGGTTTCTTTTCGAAAAGTCAGTGAATATGCCGCAACTCTGAGGCGATGAAGATAAGATTGCGTAAGCTGATTAATACAATAACGTTCTCCATGAAATTTATTAATATAAGCTTCTATAGCCCCCTTATCAGACAAAAACGAAATGTCTATTTCGATTAAGAGCGGCATACTGAAGAACGTGTCTTTTGCACCAAAAAATTGGTTCGCATTGCTGTTGTGCCAAGATGTTGAAGCGACCCTTCGACTCTGCTGAAACGCACGCGTACGAGTGCAGCGAAATGGTGGTGCGCGTCTATCATCGTACACAAACAACTGTAGCCTCTTGAGACGAATGCACGAGAGATTAGGGAGTGTGAAAGTTACGAAACACTGCGGACTGGAAAGGACAGCCCGTCTGTCCTATCGTCATTCCCTCTTCCTGTGAGGTTTGCAAGGGAGGGCTCTTATGATAAAATAGCAGAATGCGCGTTACACTTTACCCAATCATAAACACTACATGCGATGAATATTTTCATATATTTAGTCATCTATACTACCGCTGCAGATGCCGAAACATTGAGGCTGTCTACGGCAGTCGACGCAAGCGCAGGCTCGTTTTTTAGTGAACGCCAGGGAAAAAGAAATTGTGTCGTCATTGAAAAATGCACTCAGAAAAACCCGAAGTATAAAAACAAATTGTAAGAGAAGATCGTCGCTGCTATAAAGTGCTTTGTCATGCCGAGGTTGCCTTTGTGATATATCGCTTCGTTTTTGTTTCGTTTGGTAAACTGAAAGGACGTACGTACTGACGTCATTGTATATACTTTCTTAAAAAATAATAAATAATGGCTATGAAGAAAGTAAACGAGCATACCCAACGCATTTACTATGCGGTACGTTGGGCAAGTCTTCATTTCATGTGTGGAAACCCGCGCTTCGAAAATGCAGCGAGAACTGTGAGTGGAAGGAAAGGTGACTTAACGGTAGAACGGAACCTTTTAAGAAGACATGAGGACTTCGCTTCGGCGGGCATTTCCTTTGATGTGATTCGGGCTGCCGAAAAGCACAAGAGCGCGAAGTAAAGCTAAAGCAGAGATTTCCCCGTTGAAATTTGCGCAACAGATTCGTATTTGTCCAGAGAGAGGGTACCGTATATTTATGACTCGTTCCGACGCACACCCTAACAAAAAATCATTCCGAAACACTGCCGCGAACGTGATTTGTGTCTGCGTCGACAGTGTGGATGGAGTTTCGGCTTTGCGCTTTACAACGTTATAAGTGGCTCGCATGAAACGGCTTTCACTCCGTTGGAAGGCAATAACTTTATTTTGCGAAAGTGTAAAAAAAAAGTTCCAGAGTTTTTCAGTTTCGAAAGTTGAACGAGTATTGTGCTCAGTGTTCTATAAAAAAAGGCTTATCTATATTGAGTATACCAAATTCTGGAATGCTGCACCTTTGTGCTTATCGCAGGGTTCGAGAAACTCATTGTGCGTAAAAAGAAATGTTACTTTGGCGCAATGATGCTATGTTCACATAGCACCAGCATGAAAGGAAAAATTCACAGGTGTAAAACTCGCATGCACTGCTATTAGGACTGTGGAAAAAATTACGCCCGCCACTGTAAGCCTGCTTGCACCCTTAAGAGTGCTTCGCGTGTCTATAACAGACACCTTACGATAAGGGTGCTCTGAAAACCAAAACACCCATGTCCTACGTGTTCTGAAGCACCAAACTCCCATTACATGGGTGTTTTGGTTTCTCAAAACTCCCCTATCGTAAACATGCAGAGCACCCTTAAGGGTGTAAACTGTTTTACAGCGGCGGATAAAGTTCAAGATGAAAAAGACAGTAATGATGCTGTAGAATAAGCAAAACAAAGATGCGTATGGGCTTGCCTTCACTTGTCATTATTTTGAAGTGTGAGCCTTTCTGTTACGCTCATTCTCTAACCCATGCTATCGTTATGCTGTCCTCAGTATTAACTAAAAGTGTTTGCTGCCGCCGCTGGCAATTCGTGTGAATTTATGTTGTATGGTAGAGGTGCCTTACGAATTGTAAAGATGACTTGCATTTTTTAGCGGCAATAATGAATTTACTAAAAGTATCTTAACAAGAACTGGAAAGTATTTAAATAAATGTTTAAAACTGTTGCCACGCCATGATTTACGTACCGAAAGGTGACATGACCTCTTAATGTAGAAAACACACTCTATTTAAGGTAATATTAGAAGGACACCACCCTAGGGTAGAGGTCAGAGATATTGAACATGGTAGCAACAAAACACACACACACACACACATGACCGATATAAACGCACAATATATCTGCAAAATTATGGGGTGATGTAGGGTGAACAAAGTCAGGTCATCAATTTTAAGACATTGAAAACTTGCTGATTGATTGATTGGTTGATTTGTTAAAAACTGTAGCCGCAGTTGGTTAATGTTGGTGAACATTCGTATGTAATTATTTATACTGCATACAGCCAGCCTTGTCTGAAGCTGAGGCCAATCCACGTCTTAACGCTTGGCTCGAAGCCGAAAATCGGTTTCATTCGAAGCACTTGCCGACTACTTCGTAGGAAAGTGATTGCTACAACGGATGGGAGCTGCCGCAATTTTCTTTGTTGAGAGCACTTGAAAAATTTCACTGCATTTGACTGATGTGGCACAAGAATTGAGGTTAAAAAAGCGGCAGGTATGTAGTGCAGGTATACGCACCTGCTGCAGGTAAGTAGTGAGCATTGCTGTACGTATGTAGTGAGCATCAAGGTGTACGTACTTCTCTGAAGCAAACAAATGTGCATGTACATATTACTGGTAATGTAAATGAACTAACTTGATGACCTGAGAATGGGTGGGTTTCGTATATCACGCCCTTAATGGCGACGGACGATTGAATGTGCGTTCACTGCAGTTTCTGTTTCTGTGTGCTGTGAAAACTTGTCTTTGTCTCATTTATGAATAGCGCCTTGGAGGAAAAAAAGAAAGTTCCTTTTTAACCCACTCCGCATACGGGGTTACCGTCGCGCTCTTACCCAGGTGACTTCGTGGAACCGAGCTTGGAGTAAATAAAAATACGGTTACCTCACTTTCTGATATGCCAAATCCATTAGCGGGACTTTAGATTACGCAGATTTTTCTTCGTATCCGGGCATCTTTGTTGGAGCCACGGATCATTTAGCACGACGGCGCATGTTACCCGACCAGCTGCTTTGGCTGTAGCTATATAGGATGGCACAAAATAAAAGCACGCTGGCATTTCACGTTTCTCTTCGCCGCTTCAATGTTACCACACACACACACAGAGCGTTTGGGATAATTGAAACTATCATGGCAACGGGGCTTGCTTGATGTGGTGGATAACATTAAAAAAAAAAAACACAGGAAGATACTCTCAAGCGACAACCACATAATCAGATCTGTCCCCATCTATCCTTAGTGTCTTGTTTCGTCTGGTGCGCTATAAGCATTTAAATGAATTACCAACAATATCTTCCAAGAATATATAATAGCGTAAACTTTTTTTTTGCTGCCTGAAAGTACGCCAGTACCCGACAGCGACACCTTTTTAATTGTTAATGTTATATTTTTTTCAAGTTGGAATCAAACCACGATAAAAAGTATAGATGTGTGATACAACCTATTATTCGGCAAATTAACCTTTCCGTAATAGTGAGCTTTGGGAGTGTGGAACAAGGAATCGATATTTGTCTTTCTGGAGGGTTCTTTTCTCTCGCTATAATGAGAGCTTGTCGAGAACTTGCGGCTGAAGTATTTATTGGTCAATCTTTTGTTCCGTGCAGGTGCGAACTCTCTTCGTGAGTGGCCTTCCCATGGATGCAAAGCCCAGGGAACTCTATCTACTATTCCGTGCCTATAAGGTACGTCCTCTGAACCTTCACTCAAAGGACCGTTAAATACTGTGTTTTCGGCCAGTCATCCATCATCCCCATGTTGCGCCAGAACAACTGCTAATACTTGATACTCGAAATGAATCGAAACTTCACGTATGTAGTACATTGTACAAGGATAGCCTCTTCCAGTAGACTCGTACCTTCACGCTTTGCTTACACGTGTGCCAATGTCACCCCCCTGATGTATTGCGTTTACCGTGATCAGTTGAGTGCAGCAACGCCCATAAGGCGCGCTAGGGAAATTCGCGAAGCGCCGCTTCTCACTCGAACACAAAGAATCTGCCATGAGCGTTCTCGGATAGTTTCGCGCGATGTCACTTGACGTAGCTCCGTGACTTGAGCATCAGTGCATCGCACGGGCTAAGACTTTACGATATAGGCAGGGGAAGCAGTACTTCAAGATCTTCCTGTATCATATTGTATCAGCTTTCTTTATATGAACCTTCAGTTTATAGTCCGCGCCTGTTTGTGATATGTTTTGCTCTTTTGTATTCTAGTCCGGTTTTTTTTTTTGCGCTGTTAGACTGCGAACGATAACGAATTGGGCCTAGCTTACCACGCTTCTGCAGTTTCTTCCTGTGCCATGTGTCCTCGAACAGAAGCCTGGGATATGGGTTTCTTTTCATATTCTCATATAAAGTGGCTGAGTTTGTCACATCTTAGATGCGACGATTGGACGCTATGCAATAAGCGAGTGTGAAGAATGAACTTTTTATCAGGCTACAACCTTATAAAAGTAAAACCAATAATACAGTTACAGAAAGTTGGAAAATGCCTAATTTCTGTACTTGCGATTTAGAAGAGAGAGCAATATTTTCTGGAAACTGCATATATACGATGCGTGCATCTGAGCCTAATACTGCTTTAACGTTTCCAGGGATACGAGGGATCTCTTCTGAAAGTAACACAAAAGAATGGAAAGACATCTTCGGTAAGTATCATTCCTTCTTGCTGCTTGCACCCAATTTTAAAAATGTAGGTAAAAATTTACTTTTACAGCTCATGCTTTGGTGAGACTGTAACCGCAGAAAGTTAGTACAGTAAGTCACGTGTGTGCTGGAAGGCTAGCCGGTTTATGTTCTGAGAGGAAGAAAGATTGAGGCATTAATATATGTGTATGTTAATGTACATACATTAGTTTTACACATGTAAGCAGACCAACTGCCTCATACAGGATAATACGTTGCAATATTTTAATTGAGTTGAATAAAGAAAGCACAATACCGCGGTGCACGAAAATTTTTAAGTGCCAATATTGCAAGAACAAGCTGCATTACCACGGATCATTTCAAAGAAACAGAGACCTATGTGTTGCGATCGTCTAATGGATAGACGGGACGTATGTATGTTGTAATTGCGCACATGTGTTGCGCGTACGCATGGCGGTTGGACCTTGGCCTACGCACATGTGGTGAACTGAGACTCGAGTTTCATTGCACATTGTGTTTGCAGCTGCAAATGTAACTGGAAAACTGCACTGGCAACAATGGCCCTTCCTTACTATGTACCAAACTTTACCGTGACAAAACGATTGCAACACAACAGGTAGAGGTGTATACTCGCGAGGAATAAAATGAGCACGTAGATGAAGTGTTTGTTGTTTTTAATTCTTGCTCCAGTTAGCTGCGACCAGCCAGCGCGGCAATTAATTAATATAGAATACGACATATTTCCGACCTTTCAGTTCCCCAAAGATCAGCGGGTATGTGTGAAGTTAATAATCTAAATTAATAGATAACGTATATTGGTTATCGAGGGCGAAATCGCTGAAAACTATATCAGGAACGTGCAAATTCTGGCATGACGAAATTCACTCTTCGTCTTGGCTTTAGCGGTCAAAAGAAAGTGCATGCGCTTTGTTGAAAAGCTCTTGTGAATGGCGTAGAAAATATCAATACTCAACTCTTCTCGAAGACGTTCAGGGGTACACATTTGTTCTGTGTCACATTAAGATTAGATAATCGGCTTCTCTAATAGACCCCCGAGATAATGTTTTCCAGTAGGCGCAAGTTGAAAAACAGCTTACACTGTCGGAGTAGCAACAATGCATTCTTAAGCTGGAGACGCCAGCCTTAGGTTATTAACGCCCGCGAAAACACAGAGACGGATGTGAGAAAATAGATTGCTTTGTTTTTAAAACTTGCTCTGCACCAAATGGCTGTTAAAAATAAAAATAGTTGTTGGGGTTTAACGCCCCAAAACAACCATATATGGTTATAAGAGGTGGCGTATAGTGCGGAGGGGGGGGGGGGGCTAAGAAAATTAAGACTACCTGGGTTTCTTTGAAGCGTACCTAAGTCTAAGCACACAGGCCTCAGCATTTCGCCCCAATCGAAATGCGCCCTCCGCGACCAGAATTGGATACTACGACCTTCGGGAGGTGTTATAGAAAGCCAGAAATGCTAAAAAAAACAGCCCTCTGTTTTTACGTGTCTTTTTACGGTGTAAACAGAGCTAGATACAAATATTTAGGCTGAGTGGTAATAGTGTAAATTCTCAATGTGTTATTTTTTTTTCAATTTCAGCCAGTAGGTTTCGTAACGTTTTCTTCAAGAGCTGGAGCAGAAGCTGCCAAGCAGGAGCTTCAGGTAAGGCAAACAACGCTTGCATCGTTGTTCGTGAATGCTTGAAACGTCTTTCACCTGTCCTTCAGGGAGTTGTGTAGTTTACGACAAGTGTATGCAAAGCATTCTACATTTTTCCTGCGTTTGCAGTCGTTTGCTAAACAAGAACTATACAGGAATGAAAAGTGTTATCACTTTGGATTGTTTCAGCATCAGGTATCCGAGCTTACTGATATGCTTTTGTTTCAACTGTTGCGTTTGCATTTTCATTGCCTGAATATTAGGCAGGCCGTAAAACAAAGGACAAATAAAGAAAGAAAACGCAACTGTAAGTTAGATGAGCACGCAGTTGCTGTTTGTTTGAAACATGAAACCTTAAATAACGGTGGCGTGTAAACAGGGTTACTGTTTAAAAAGGTAACTATTACAGCTCATACATTCGTATTGCATGTTCTCTGAGCTGGTCGCTTCATAAGTATTGCTTGAGAAACCGTTCATAAATGTGCAAACCTTCGCACTGAGTCGAACATAGGCGCTGTCCTCTCCGCAATTCAGCTTCATCAAATATGCTCCAGACTTTAAGGCAGCCAGTGTTAGAAGTTGGCAGCAAGCAGCACGTGCACTGAACGAGTCGGCTGAGGAAAGGCGAACCCAGTGAACGTAAATACATTGACCGGAAAGCAAACTCAAGTGCTGCTCGAGTTAAGCGGACGCTTGCCGGAGCATATGGCTGCTAACCTAAAGTCCGACTGGTGCGATGTGCTCAACTCTCGCAGCGGCTATTATTCATTCACTGCGAAGATGTTCTTGGCACACCGGGAGGCAAGGAGCCTGCCGCGAACGGCACGCTGAACGCCGGGCGCAGAGCAGCGGCAACTTTGTTATCTGGGCCCTGTTGCGAGCGAGTTGGCGGTCTTCGTTAGGCTTTCCACGCGAAGGATTCGGGGCGCTGACGCCACCGCATGGCGAGTGAAGAAGGCAGGGAAGGTGGCGATTATTCGCGCGAGGTTGGGCGCACTCGAGCCTCTAATGAAGCGGGTACACTGACGTCTGCCCCGCGATATGCTTGACAGGCCGCAAAGCCTTGTCGGGGCTCCCACGGGATCACTGAGCCAGTCACTCGAACAGCTACAGCTTGTTTGTTTTTTTCCTGTTTCTCCCCGCGATAGCTGACCAAGCATGGATGGAAGTGCTTTATTTACGCTTTCGTTGACTCATAGCAATCATAAGCGATGGATCTGAGATCAGCTGGAAATGGTAGAACTGTTGTGATGGATTGCTATTACAGAGATGTTCATTTATTTGTGCAATTTGAAGAACGTGCTTTGTACACGCTTTGAGACTATGATATCTGTGACTAAAAGTGCCACCTGTACGTGAAAGTTGTAAAACAATTGATAAGCGCAACTTTTAAGCACGATCCGAGCATTGCGATATTTACACTTGTGTACGCAAACAAATCGCCACGAACGTGAGACCGGACAAGCTGGGTGATACGTACAAGCAGTGCTGTAATGATACAGCGCCCACCAGCGTTAGCTGACACAAATGATGTAGAAAAATTCATAGTGGTCGAAAAAACTGAAAGACACTGAATCTGAATTTTCAAGGAGTCCTCATTGCAGAAAACATGTAAAGGACTTAGCGAGGGAATGGAACATTTAGAGTATATAGTTGACTGAGGTCTGATGTTTTAAATGAAATATGCCGGGTTCTCATGTTACTGAGGCATAGAAGTTTCCACGAAGTTAAAGCATTCCCCACTGTATTCCATCGAGCAGCACTGTCGGCGTGGTGGGCACAAAAAATGACCACATATATTAACGTTTTTGGAGCACGGTCAATGACCAAGGCGTTCATAGAACAAGAATTCTGGTCAACAGCATCGGCAATCCAATGGAAGTCACTCACGAAGTTTCTGCGCCGTTCTCAAATCTCTTGCGCGCTCATAAGCAACGCATACGTCTAATCGATTACTTGTAATCGGTGGCTTGGCGGCTTCTGCGCGAACGAAGCTCATGTCACCAAGCTGCCGCCATATCCATGCCACCGATACGTCTATGGTTAGATAGCCGTCATAGTTTCGCGTTTTCGTTGGCCCAGCCGTGAGCACTTTGCCCAAGCACCAGCAGCTCTAAAATGCCGTGCTTCATAGAAAACCGCGGCTCAAGTATGAGGGCACTGTAACCTGGATATTGTCCACAAAATGTTACGTTACAAAAGAACTCTTAACTCCAGCGTGCACGCCGATCAAGTTTTCACAGCCGCTGTTAATGTCAATACAAAGAAACGGCAGAAGATGGCAAGCCAACACCTCAATAGAAGCAAGAACTTCATTATTAAAAATAAGCTGTGAGGGGTTATGGAGCAGTGAAAGATCCAGACAACTGGTTGTATTTGCAGCCTTTGTGCAGTGTTCAAAATAGTTATGAGGGCATCAAGGTTTGGTAATGAATTATTTTACAACACTTCTTCAGGTACATTCATAGTCATACTGTATTTCGTTACGTTCTTGAAGGCAGTAAGTGTAATTGCAGTCGCGGTTAAAGATTTCCTGTAGCATGCACAATTCTGGTGCGCAGGGTTGACTGATCGTAACTCAAAGGCTGAACGAAGACATACTTACCTGCATGCCAGAGCACAGTGTATGTATACATCACGTGCAAACAAACGCACTCTCTCTCTAGCAGCGTCTCTCATAATCATATGGTGATTTTGGGACGTTAAGCCCCACAAATCAATCAATCAATCAATCAATCAATCTCTCTAGCACACACACAAACAAAAAAATGAAAAAAAAAATGTGACCACTAATGTTCATGGTTGGCACTGGTCTTGCTGCCAGTTCGATTCTCAGCCGAGACTGGGCAGCCTTCGACTCGGAGTCCTAACCGTGGCGCCTGTCTTTCTCTCGCCCTTCGCGCGGGGCGCGTGCAGCAGGGCGTGCGGTTCGACCCCGACCTTCCACAGACCATCCGGCTCGAGTTCGCCAAGAGCAACACAAAGGTTAGCAAACCGAAACAGCAGTCTCCTCCCGCCGCGGCCACGCACCCGACACTCCTGCACCCTATCACGGGACGTAAGTAGCCGAAAGCACCGGCACACCGGCTCTCTTTCTCTCCTACCTGCTCCATCTCTCTGGAGAACCGAGGGTCACGTAGCGGCCAGACGGACGGTCAACACCAGAACTGACCGGGAACAGCAACTGACGTTCTCTTGTCGAGGCGCAGCGCACTTTCCAGAAGCTTGCACAGCGGGTTCAGCTAGGTTATGTGCGAACAAGAGGTCGCGGGCTTAATTAGCACATTTGTTTTTTCATTAGTGCGTTTTACCGATAGCGTTTTCATTTAGTGCGATTTCGCTGCATTGTGATTGGCTGAAATATTTTCTTACGCAAATTTTAGCGTCAGAAATGTTTGTGAACATGGGCCCACAATTTGTTTTTGCATGTTCACGATTGGATTATCTACCGTTGAAGTTTTTTGACGCGTTGGCTAAGGACATGTATACGCTGAATGAAATAAAAAGAGAAAACTAGAGTGTTAGTGAGAAGCATTTTGTATCTATTTACTCAATATTGGCACTCTTGGTTGAAGTTGATCAACTGGTGGCTATGTTTACAGTGCTCTCGACTGTTGGTCAGGTGAAGAGTAATTATAACTCATTTACCTCGCTATTTAAGTTTCTGAGAAACTAGAGCTGCGTGTTTTACGCGCTTGTTTTCTCAGTCCTGTTAAATTGATGTCACTATTAAAGTCATGGCGGATAATCAATTGTCTCAACATGAGGTTTCGAAACCGGCATGCATAGGAATAAGAATCATAAAAGATGCAGTCCCTCTGTACAAGATGTAGCCTTTAACGTGGGAGAAGAGTTCACTTCGGTCAATCGGTATCTATGGTTGCACACGCTTCAAGTTCATTGTTGTGAGAAAGAAGTGAATATGGAGCTTGTTAAGCCTAGGTGAAGCCAAGGGCCTGAAGCATAAATGACAGTTAAATAGAACCTGCACTTTTTAAAAAGGAAAACAGACTACATATTTGCGAGGTTTAGCTTCGATTGTGGAGTTACACGACAAACCTGCTCAATTAACATTTTCTGGCAATCCATAGTTATCAGCAAGTGTTGCAGGTTTCAATATGATAATCGAATGATTCAGGCAAGTGTATGGCAAATTGTTTCGAAACGTTGCATTTTTTTTTTCAAGGAAAAGATTGTACCGTTTTACAGCACATCATGAATTTTCGACGCCTGTCTCCGAAACAACAGTAACAAAACAATGCGGTGAATAAATGAAATGAAAAATTTGGAAGGAATCAGTGGGTCATCACCGACAAGAAAACAAAGGAACTTATAGGTGCTATAGGTGCATGGTACTGAAGTTATGACCGCCCGCCTGGCCGCTTCTGGCTATTGCACTTACACCTGTCTCTTCTGTGGTATGAAAACTGTGCGCTGCCTTTCTGAAAAACGCAAGGGCCGATATGATTCTTACTCGCCAAATAACTGTTGGCGAGTGGTAGGACGTCGCTTAAAGTATGACCTTGTCTAAAGTGTTATATGACAATCGTTCACGCCGTACGCGTTTCTCCCATCTTGGCTGTCACGTGGCGTTGTTAAAATCTGACCGGTGACCTTTGCTTACACAAGTCCAGATTACTGTGACCTTTGCTTACACAAGTCCAGATGACTGATTTTCACAGCCTCACCTTTCCGTGGGGTGATAACGTAAGTCACAGAAAGGTATCAATCACGGCTCATCAATAAACTGCGGCAGTTTCGTGTTCTTCAGAAAGCCAGCGCACAATGGCGATGTCCTGTTCCACAGTCTATCTCTGTCTTTCTTCTACTCCAGGCTGTCTGGCAACAGTGTGCTAACTGTGTTCTTTTCGGGAAAGAACTTTCGCCCACAGTCGCTCCACACGTGGCCTACTGTTTTTCTTACATGAGTGTGTTTTTTTCGCACATGCAGGAATGGAATGGCACACCATGTGCACAGAAAGCAATCTTTGCAGGCATTTCGTGATTTTCACTTAAGCAAAAAAAAAAAAAAGCAACCTTCGTCTCTTCACTCACCTTGCAATCGATGTTCGGAACACATTACCGGAAACTCAGCGGGAACGGTTCGCTCACGGTTGGCAATTGCTGAGTGGCAGTACGAACCCTCGAATGTTTCTGCAACCCAAGGATTCTTGACAGTGCTGGAATAAAAAAAAAAAAAACCAAGCTGAATCACTGATATAACTCTGCGAAGATTCGTCAAACAGTGAAGCTGCTAATGTCATATTGCTATTACGTTGCCACTCCACCATCTCCACTAGTTGACCGTTCTTCAAGAGCTTAAGCCAGTGAAGCTGCTTAAAACCTTTTAATACACACCACTCTATCAACTAACCCTAATTTCGCCCCGTCTGAAGAGATCGCCATAGAGTTTATATTTAATGATAATGAAAGCCAGCAGGCGATGTATCCAAGGAAAGTACAGGGAACGTCAATTGCACTGTTTTTGAAGTGTACTGTAGTAACTGTGATATGGATGCGGAGAAAACAAAGTGGACAAAAAGACCACTTGCTGCGGTCAGTGACCGAACCAGTAACCCTTCGAATCGGCAATCTGTAGGTTGCTGATTTGCTCCCTACTGGCGGCGTATTGTCTTTTGGTGCGCCTTAAGTTCTTCACATTCATATCATAATTACTACGACACACTTGAAAAAAAAAAGTGCAATTACCATTCCCAGTAACATTCTCTGTAATTTTCTTGGATTCATTGCCTGCTGCTGTTTTCATTAAAGTTCTTTCAAAGAAAAAAAGGAGCCCTCAAAATTCTTTACTGTCTCGGTAAAAAATTTTACCGTTCGTAACGACGGTAATTTACCGTTCGTAAAAAATTACCGTTCGTAACGACGCTAATTTAGCAGGTTAACGGGTGCTTGCAGAAACGCTCGAGGACTGAGCAAGCTATAAATTTCTTCAGCACCAGCACATCTGTTCACCGAATCTACGCGTGCCTTGTCATTGCGCTGTTCTCTTCATTGTGTCTGGTTCCACTATTTGCTCTGAACACGCAAGCTGCATGGAGAACAATGCAGCTGCACCTTCACCCTTTTGTGTGACACGCCGGGGTCTTCGTCTGTTGTTTTGTGCTATCAATTTAATTCGCTCTCTCTCAGAACGCAGCTGCGAAAGAAAAAAAAGTAAGCAACACGTGAGTCTGCTAAGAGCCATTACTCCCGTACGGGCATGCATTTTTTTAGCACAAAATTTGCTTCGCACTAAATCACCGAAAAGCAATTTAGTGGGATAAATTCCATAGTAATACCGACGTATCGCATATATATAGTAAGTGCGAGGAATCATTTACTGTATTCGAGTAATTATAAAAAAAAGCATGCCTGTGTTTATGCTTCTTTTGGAGCACTTCAAAAAATTATTCGTGGGCAATCGGAAAAGTTGCAGGAGTTGGAGAAAGTTCAGTACGTGAATTCGTTAGCAAATAAATATCGCAGACTACTGCAAGATATTATGTCTTTGTGATTAAAAAAAACAAAAAATAAAAGAACATCGTAATCGAAAGCATACTTGGAAGTATATTGATATGAACTTACAAAAATTAAGAAAATGACGCACGTACGTGAGCGCAGTTCCATAATTAGGATGCGTGCTATTGATAAACATTACTCGGATATTACGAAACAGTGCTTAAACTTAACGCTAAAGCGAAAATATTTGGGCAAATGTGTATCCTATAGTTTGTTTGATTTGAGAAAAATGAGAAAAGATTGCAGCCCGAATATCAACAAAATGCCGCAGGTAACTTCAAAATCACGTCAACATTAATTATCTGGTGAAATGGACATTTCGATATGCTTAAAAAAACGATGCAAAGCACTCATAACTTTAATAAACCTGCATTACCAGTGATGTTTCAGTGGTGACCCTTGCATAAAATGACTGAATTTGTTCGACAGACGTTTGCTATACGTTCTGGAATAAAAAAACTCAGCTGTCATAAAATTTAGCGTTATAAGTTTGTTAAGAATGCAATCTCCCCTGATCAAACATTTCGTAACGACGAAGTTAAAATGAAGTCCAGCTGTTTTGCAGAACTTGTCTATTGCTTCAAATGTAAATAGGTTAGTCCTTTCGGATACGCGGTGCGTTGAACAGAGCCAGGCTGAGTCAGATGGAAAATGCAGAAATTTACCACAAAACTGCGTCTAGATAAGAAAACTGCGATATTTCGACCAAGAGAAGTGATGAGAAAACTTAGTGGAGAAACACCAAGGTGGTAAGAAATGACAGAAATTTCTAATGCTACGGGGTCGTATAAAGGTGACATACAGAGAGAGGGATAGAGGGACAACGGGAATGGAATGACGGTTATACAAGAATGTTCTTGATCGCTGGTCTTGTGGCAGTGACAAAAGGTATCAAGAATAAGGGTAACCGAAGGTGCCTTCAGTTCGCATTCGAATGTTTATTTGTCAGCACGCTGCTCTTAATGTTCGCTCAGAGCTGACGACATGGGGAAAAAGGCTGTTGAGTGGGAGTAGCCGAGGAAGCGTGGGTTAAATTTTGTGACCATGTATACATGGAAAATCAAGGAGAAATACATAAGAGCACAATAGGGTTCTTGCGTCTGTCCGTGTCTACAGTCGTGCTTAAAACTTAAAAATATATTTGCAGTCAGACCAAACTACGTCGTTATTTCCTGTAGTTATGGCGCTCTTCGCGGCAGTGCCTTTCTAAGCTGCCAGAGATGCTACAGTTAGAAAAGGTAATTTAGTCAACGCACACATTGTCACGTTATACTGTAAGAAAAAGCTGTAAGTGACATATACAGGTTACGTCAAGCTGGGTCGATCACTGCCAATACGACCTCGTCGTCTTTTTCGCAAGCTCGTCTTCACCATCGTTTCAACAGCGACACATACAAGCCTGGCAGCAACAATGGCAACAATACTATAGGTGATCTTATACAAGCGGAACTATTATATAACAGCATTAGATGTGTTACATATTGTTGTTTACCTGTCCTCTGGTCTAGAGAAACTACACAGACTTCCTAGTAACAGAAATCGCTACCAAGCCTGTATTTCGGTCCACTTTCAGGCCGTTTGATTCTGAACGTGCTTTTTTCTTAAAATCTATACGAGGCATTGGACGCAAAACAGCTATTTGGGGGGAGGGGGACTGTCGACAGACTATACAGACTTTATATATGAATAACAATAGTCACTTTTCTTTTGCTGCTCTATACTGTCCCACAGGACACAAAACAGGAAGAACAGACACACACTTTTGCGCAAACTTTCAAGCCTTGCTGATCTGCAGTTTCTCAGAATAAGTGTTCTCAAGGCGTTGATGATAGCTTTGGTGGTAATACGTGCCTGATCCGGTTGTTCTGTAAGAGTTATGAATGTATGCACTGTAATGCATCACAGAAGAAATCAGCGCTGCCCTGCTGCCGGGGACCCACGACGGCTGGCCGCACCACCCTCTCTCCTACGCCGAAGTGCCCGTCACCACTACCCTGCACACTGCGGCTCTCATGCATCCAGCCCTCCATGCGCAGCTGCCCGTGAGTGCTCGCCGGCTGGTTCAGCAGGCACCCGTGGGGAGCGCCACTTGGCAGCTCCCGAACGCGTACGTCTAGACTATACGCCGCCTAACGAACACTTAGTGCACACTTTCCCGAGTATAGGACCGCGTTGCCCTCTGTGACAGGCAACTAAGTCAACAGGAATAGCTGACTACCCACCCGAATGTAGCGCGCCACCTCCGATAGACACTTTAAACGTTCCTCTGAAAGAAAGGCTCGGTCATTGGGAATAAATGATGATTTTGATGTTTAATGTTGACATCAAGGACTTTCGATCCTAATTTGACCAATCTAAAAACAAAAATTTTTCCTTGTGGTACGAGCCCTTCAGGTTAATTCATTTGACAGGGCAACTGCTAAGGTTGGTCGTGAGGGCACAGGATGTTGTCCGAGCTGAAGGCGCGTCCTGGAATAAGGACGCCTCCCCTTATCTACTTTGTAAATGATGTTGTTTATTATCTCTCTGTATCTGAAAGGCAATGGGCCAGGAAGAATACACAGACCTGTCGCTGTGAGACTTCTGAAAATCCTGAGTGCAGGGCTACATAGTATTTGACTGACATAACCGAAAACCACGGAGTTTTGGGGCTGGTAAATGCCAGTTGAAGTTGCTGTATCTGTACGAGGTTGTTCAAGGCAAATACTAGGTTCTGCTTTCGCCTATCGTGCGTAATGAAACAAAATTTGATTATTCGTTTTGTTTTCACGGTTTTGACAGTTCTAACGTTGCTGTTAGTGCTCAAACGTTTGTGTGAAGCACCAACTCGATATATACAGGACAAAGTAGCACAAGGATGATGCGAAACCTTCGAGTTGTGATTACCGAAAAATCTATATCTGCTCCTCCAACTGAGGACCACCTTTGAGTGAAGCATGATTTTCTGCAATTCACAGCAGTATTATTTTATACTGTGTTACAGCAACCGTAAGCAATTTTCAACCATACACGATGACATAGATGGCATGTGACAGATCGCACAGTGAACTTGTTTAGTTTGTGAGTATCTTCAATAATACTAGCGCTGTGGGCCAATCGGGCCCGTCGAGTTGCGTTCAGGTGCAACACACTTTAAATGTGACGCTACTGCACGTGCACATCAACTGCTAACACCATTTTTTTTCAAAGCCTGCGTGTAAGCTAGAGCTAGAAAAAAAAAATTCTCAGATTTAACAACTATCTTTTGTTTACAAGTAACCATGTGCTGGGCCACTAGGAAGTCAATGTCGCGTGACAGATTGGTGCATTACGTTACGCAGGACAACCACTTAGTCACACCTGCCGCAGTGGCTCACTGGATATGGCATACTGCGGCGCACCCTGATCACCTCCAGGGGGTAAATATTAATCCGGTGCTATCCACTGCGGCGCCCCTCACAAGCCACTGTGCAGTTTCGAGACGTTTTGCCCTCGAACTAAACTAGCCCCATGTCACGTGACTCAAACGTGTATTTAATGTTCATGTCTGCCCCTTGCAACTGACTACTACATGTGGTAAGAAGTTGATCAACACTGTCCAGAAATAACCTACCGTTCGGGATCAACCGGTACAAGGCAAAATCAGTGAACGAGCCCTGATTGTGTGGTCGAGGCATCGCTGTTGCTTCGGTAAAGTGCTGTTTGATCGTTTATCCTATAAAGCGAGCAAACGAAGATGGCAGTTGAAGACAGACCGAGTACTTTATTTGTCTTTACCTGTACTGTATGTAAAATGAGCGCCCACTCTCCTGAAATAATGGAGTTTTATCGTCGGGAATCCAAAGCGGCTTACGTACACAAGCCCTTGCGTTGCTCTGTATTCCCCTGGAATGCGGCTACGCAAGTGCCTTGAGGTACACTGAACTAAAACTTTACAATACAGTACTTGTTGGGGCCTTACGTCCGAAAAAACACGTCATGAATATGAGAAACGCCACAGCGGAAGCCTCTGGAAATGTCGACCAGCTGGCGTGCTGTAATGTGAACCTAAGTTTGTAAGCGTACGGGGCCTCTGAGATTTTGCCTCTATCGAAATGCTGCCATCGCGACCGGGATTTGATCCCGCAACATCGTGTCGGGCTCACACGCCAAACTGTTCATATCCAATAACGATTTAGGACAGCGTTGGTCAACTCGAAGTCCCCGGTATAGCAGTATTCCTTTTTGCGATCTCTGGCTGTGCGGCAAGCGCTGCAGTGTCGAGACAGCCAGAGTCGAGACAGCCGACTTGACACCACGCACTGTCCCATGCAGCCTCCGCTGACGGTGCCGCACCCCCTGTCACACGCGGCGCTGGCTGGTAGCGCGGCCGCGATTCACGCGACCATGCCGCCCCCGCACTTGGTTGCCAGCCCGGCGCTTGCGTCACCCGTCGGCTCCACCTCGTCTTCGGCTGCCGCAGCAGCGGGAACGCCACCCTGCTCCACGCTGTTCGTGGCAAACTTGGGACAGTTCGTCTCCGAACAGGAGCTCAAGGACCTCTTCGGAAGGTGCGTATGACGCGCTCCGTGGTGGCCATTCTTCGCAGATCGCGACGTATGTACCCGAAAGAGCTACGGCGTGCATGTTATTCGCCCTCAAATACTGCGATGAGCGAGTGACGGAACTCGGAAGCGCCGTCGTTTCGTTTACGATATGAGAGTAGTCGCGTGGGCAAATGAACTTGTATAATCGCGCATCTCGAGCTCCTAGTCGGTTTACCACAATGCGGTAAGAACAGAACCCATTTTACGGAAGCGGACAGAAGAAGCCGCTTTCGTAAAATGTGATCCATTTTTGCCTCACTTGAACAAACAGTACGCCTAACGTATTATACCAGTCGTTCTGCTTAACAGACACTGTCACGTTCAGAGATACTTTAAAAGTAAATTTAGCAAATGACATTAGCCTATGCGTCTACTACCTGAATAGAAATACAATCAGAGCCTTTACATTGAGACGGCAATGCTTGAAGACTTGTTATTTCGTCAGTTCATGGTCTGCGCACTCTTTATGAGAGGATATAGCTCCCGTCCAATATAAAATGCTTTCTCCGCTCATGGTTGACTTAAGTGGCATTGTAGACCTTGTAACTAGTATTTTTGCAATTTCGGGTGCGATCGCTGCTCATTACTAGCCGAATCGAAGGAATACTTGAAACTGCTTTGAATGTCACCGCGCATCTTTGTTGCGTTGCCATAGAGATTTCCGGGCAAACTGTGACGCTCATGGCGATGATGTCGAATATTTGTAGACGGAAATGCTCTTCCACAAATGAGCGAGGCAACCAAGGGCACGAAGATTCGCTTTAATCGTATAATTAAGGCATGGTACGTGCCTTGTTTGTACACAATAAAAACATCCAAATGGTTCATGACGTCTGTTCCCAGGAGCATGCTCTTTTATTCGTGACAGCGAGCAGGCTTGCCTGAGCAAGTATCGTGGTTGCCACCGCAACCGCAAAAACCACGGCTAACTCTTGTCACTGATGATATTGGCAGCGACTCCTTAATACACTCTTGAATATCAATGATACTACTCTTGAGAGTGTTAAAACAATGACCGTTGTCATGCTCGGGTTCTTGAAGAGTGGCTATCGCGCGGTACTATAGGGAGCGTCGAGAAAGCGCAACAAAATTATTTGCGGCAAGCACACTGCGCAACTGACGAATGTGTATTTTCACCATTGTGTTTCGTAAAGACGCTTCAGTGAAAGAATTCCGAGATGAGCTTAGCTTCTCACAGTGATTAGATATGTTTCACGCCACAATCTTAGGTGCGGTGAACTTATTACCATTGCACGTAATAGAATCGAAGAGTTGCTGTGGTAATGTATACGTAGGGGTTACACTGGTTGGTTAAAAAACTTACATGAACTGGTTTTGTAAGTTCTGTGTCACAAGCTTGAATAAGAATAAATATATTGAACGTTTATGTATAGTAACAACGGTTGCCGGGCGTTTTAATTGTGATTGTTGTTAGGTACGTTTTTAGCCCTTCTGATTAATATGATGAAATCCTAGAATTTTCGAAAACTCTGCTGAGGAAGTGTAAAAGAACACTTTTTGTCTTATATCGTCGTGTGCCGCTTGAAAAAAAGCGAGAACTTGTGAGGCCTTTTGTTTCGGTGTCTTCACTGTTACGCAGTAGTTCCCCATTTGCACATATCAATGTAAAAGGGCCCATGAGACCATGTACTAAGTACATTATACTTACCAGGACTCGTTATTACGTGTACGAGTTTGTGAGCAAAGACTAGAGGCAGAACTTTCGTACTATACATCAAGTGAAAAAAAAGCAGATAAATATAGTCAGTTCTGTCAGAACTTATGACAATGTGGAAATAAGTAGTATTCTAGCAGCGAATACAGACGATGGTGTCGGATTGAGTATGAAAATGACAAAATAAAAATTTGCAAGTATAAGATTCGCCTAAAGAGTAAGAGCTAATTGCAAACATCTAGGAGACATTTTGGGCCTGCTCTAAACGGAGGTAGACAGTCGGCCATGATGCATGGGAATGACGACATGTGCTTGTAGATTTGCTCTGAATCAGCAGTGCATTTGACTCGAAAGACAGGAATTGTTGGCGTCAGTGAATGAATCTTCAGTGCTCCATCGAAGTTATGGCTGCGCATATTGCTTTTGGCGGAGATTTTCAGGCCATAGTCTTTACAGCAGTTTCGTATGTAAGGGAGCACCACCTTTAGATAATTCGGAAAGATGTTTTCATAACCTCTTCTTTCCCTTAGTGAAATGACACAATTAAAGCCCATTTGTTGCCTGTTAGATGCACTCATAGTTCGTGAATGCCATCAGTCACATTTTCAACGAGGACACGTTTTAGAAATACGTAGAAAATGTGATGTTATCCCAAACTACACGAGTTGATCACGCACCCCGGTTGCCTCTTTTCACGTTTGTCACGTTCCGTGGACGACATCTCTCGTTTATTTTTTTTATAAATACGTTGTTCGGGTTTTACTGTTTATTCATCACAGATATTTTTTTCAAGTTGTGTCGATTTCGGTCTTCCGTGTTGTCGTGTCGGTGTTGTATATCGAAAGCGTTGTAGCGGGCATGAGCCGTTTGGTGGGAAATGGGCTAAGAATGGCCACTAAAGGCAGCGCAGTTCGCTGCATCAGGGCATGTACATTGGCGACTCAGAGAAAGAGCACGTAATCTGAAAACGACGCTCGTTTTCTCATAGTACGAATGACACCTTTTGCCAGCTACGACGCTTTCCATACCGTGGTGTGCATTGTGCTGCGACGAGACGCCCGTAACGTCACTCTTGCTCTTCTTTACACGCCCTCTCTGACGTTCTTCTCTCCGCTCTTGACTAACTGTAGTGACGCACTCGTCGGACTGCACGTCGAGATCGTGAACTAGCCCATTCTTGGCGCTTGTTGTGACTCACACGTTATCTACCCTGTGTGCATGCACGTAGACATTGTGCTAGTATCGCATGAGATACCCTTCTCTTGGACGCTTGCTGACAGCTGCTACTTTAGACAGTGTGTGGATAGTGTGGCAGAAGGCTACTGATGGCGAACAAATTGCATTGGCTTATTTATAAGCCTTCAGTGGCATACTGGACCATAGTATACGGCGTCACGGACACTACTAACGGGATTGCTGGGAACAACGCAGCAGGCACTTTTAAGGGAAACGTCAACATCGAAACGAGTGAATAACTTAGTGAGTGTTCACACATTGATATACAAAAGCTTGCCTTACGTGTTACTGTGATCGCTCAGAGCATTATGCTTGAAAAGGCACAGCAATGCAGAATCACGCTTCTGCTTTAAGGGGCCCCTCACCTGTTCTCCGCATCGCAAATGAACCAGTTCAGCACGAAGCACGGTGAGCAAGTTCAGCACGGTGACAATCGTGTCTGGTGGGTATAAGGCGGCGACGATGCACATGTACGACCGAAATGCTAAACATACGACCGGTCGCCCTCCACTCGAGCGACCTGCACTTCGAGAAAGTATCGACGTCACACGCCGGAGCACCTTACGTCAGACGCCTTGCTTGAAACGTCACTGACCATAGTACGTGACGTCACGTTAGGCATCGCGTTTAAAACGCACGACGCCGAACAGCAGCTTAAAAAGAGAGAGAAATAAATAAAGGGTATGTGGGGATCATCATCTAAACGTCACGTGGAGATGACACTATCCTTTAACTTTTGTGAGGTAAAATGACGTCGCTTGCCGCTGCTAGTTCTAGCTAAAGAAGAGACTTCAACAGTGAGTCGCCTCTTGCCAGCAGAGTTTCATTTAATTTCATTTATTACACCTTAAGGGCCCGAAGGTATTACATAAGGGGGGGCATACACGGGTTTATGAACAGTGTAATACAATAATTGGTAACAAATCAAATGAGACGAAAATAAAGAGAACAAATAAATGTAGCATTGGGTACGTACACAAGAGTTAGAGAACAGTTCAATTTCTTAACGTCCTGAAATACAGGGTAACCTTAGGATTATTTAGCAGCTCCTAGACACGTTCTTAGACAGGGCCTCACAAACTTCAGTGCAAATAAAAAATTCTCATTATGACTAGGTGAGGGGTCCTTCAAGGCACGTCGGTTGTTCACTGATCGGATACGAAAAATTCTTAATTTCTTCGTGCGAGAAAGACCAATCAATTTGTTCGTTATTACTGCGACTGGCACTACAAAAAAGTATACTTTAATGTCGCTGCCAGATCTAGGCCTCCATGTTATATGTTTTGCAGCTAGTGGGCCGAGGGTCATGTTTAAAACAAACTAGATTTCGTAAGGGCGACTGCACTCACGGGGACCATTATTTTCTAATTTCAGTTTCCCGGGTTTTTGCCGCTTGCGTATGCACAATAAAGGTGGCGCTCCCGTAGCTTTTGTCGAATATCAAGTAAGTACTGCATCTGTACACATCTTGGGGAATACGAGTCGTACACATCACCGCAGAAATAAATTCGAGGGAAAATAACGTTGAAACGAGGAGAACCTCGGTTCCGTGTTTGCCGCATCATTTGTCGTACGCGCGCTCGCTTCTTTTTGTAGCAGCTTTTTCCCCCTTGCAACGAACGTCTTCTTTGTTGTGTGCTGCATGTGACCTGCATTTTTTTTTTGCCTGCTTTCCTGCTTGCACTTGCTGCCACCCACGCAAGCAGCCAAACACGGGATCTAGGTTCCATAAGATTGGATGAAGTCTCGATCTTTTCGAGAAGCATCAGTAAACCGACGAGAAGTTTCTCGGACTGTTGGCTGCGTGAGGAGCCCATCTTGCGCTGTTATTTGGCATGCTTTTAGGTTTAGCTCACACGTTTTTATTTACCACGTCTAACTACGAAAGCGAATAGGAAGCACTAAATAATGTGAGCCATCACTGATTTCAGTTTTTTGCACATGTGCCGGGCACACGGCAACGCCGTCACAATAGCGCGTTCTAAAGCAAAATCCAACTTGAAGAATGCAGATTTTCACAGTGAAAAATTAGGTATGGTAAATGGCTGTCCTTTATATAGAACACAGCGTGGTCCTAGTAGCTTCAGGTGTAGACCGCTTTCGTCTTATGAACAGGTAAGTATGAAATCTCAAATAAGTGGCGTAGAGCGGCCACGAAAGAGCTAACGCAAGCTGACTGGCGTTCAGCTTGTTTTCGTTAACAACACCAAAATTTAGAGTTCGTCAAAAGCAGAGCTGACAGTTCCCGTTAGCGATGTTTCCCATCGGTAATAGTTACGATCATTGTTAATGATGCGAAACATACATGGAGAAACACAGCAACGCTCGCCTTATCTTTCAGAGAGGCAATCGAGATAGATCTGATTGGAGTGCTGACAGTATGACTGAAGCCAACCATGCAGACTAGTCGCAAAGTGATTCGGTTTTTGGTAATCTTGTGTCTGAAGCTTGCGCAAAAGTCAAGAAACGGGCAAATGCCTTTTAAAGCCAGATATAACATGTTTTCTAATCACGAGCTGAGCAACGAAGGAAAAATATTTATTTGGGTGTTCTGATGAAGCGCACAGCCTTTCTTACGTTTTCTGTCTGTTTTTTTTTTTTGATAACATGCACAAGCCAGAAAGAATATTCGCGAGAGCGAAATGATAAGCTCCGGTTCGCATCACAGCACCAGTTTATGATATTCGGCGGCATGAGAATTCAAGTGGTGACCACGATGATGGGCACAAGATCTTCGCATGTAGATTAGTTCGCAGCTCAGCTAGAGCAGAATACGAAGAATGACATGAACTGAGTTTAGGTGCGTTTTATAAAAATAGGCTGGCTGTCAACTATTTTGTACATTACCTTCTCACCGTCGACAACAAAACTCTACTGTTTTAACCATAAGCAGAACCACAACAAGATAAAATAGCGCATTTTTTTTTTATTGAGAAGATATCCTCCACAAATAAGGCGCCGGCTGCTGCATAACACTTGAGAATGTCGAACAACATAGACGCTTCAAAATTACATGTTACATAAATTACTCACAGTAACACGAGGTCTTTAACGACTGCGCGGCACACACCACGTGCGACATGAAAGACCACATTGCTACGTATTTTATTCAGTGTTATCCAGGTCTCTTTTTTGACCTGATAAATGCTGAACTGTAACCAAGTAGACCGAGTTTCTCTACAGGATTCTTTCTTGTTGAGTAGTAGACTTTATCTACAGTGAGGGTCAGCTTCATCTGCATATCAAAGCTTCACAATTGTTTTGCATTCATCGGATCAGTTGGAAGAGCCATGAATAAAATTTGAATCATACTGCCACATTTTAAGTTATACTATCGTGTAAAATTCTACGTTGCGCAGTTTTCGTTATTTTCATGCATGAGATTTGCTTTCGCACACCTATTGTTCCAAACGCTGCTTTTTTTTGTGAGATACGGAAACAATCACAGGTGCTTCGGTGGTAGGAATATTTTCTGGTGCACCGTATTTTTTTTTTGCTTACAAGTGTATGCGTAAATAAAATCTAAAAGAACACACTCAAATGAAATGTCTTGAACTAGCATAACCCCTGACGTAATTTTTATCACAGTTTGAGCAAACAGTACAAGCCCGCATTGCGGTGATGAAATGTATGTTAAATGCGAATGGTTCGTTGAAGGTACATGCTATAATTAACGTAAAACAATTCTATAAACGAAAATCAAGATAAACATATGTAGTAGAACAACATTAGATGAGATAAGAAATTCGCTACAATACACAGACAAATAGCTTGCGAGCAACGCTGTCTTAGTTAAACGTTAAAACTGCTAATGCAAACATCACGTTGTCACTCGGTGAGCTAACAACCTTTTGACAGTCTGCAACAACATCACTGATAACAAACGTTAAGCACGCAGCATCTAAAATATGCAAACAGCATAGGTCGTCAAAAGAAGTGAAGCTCACTCACATTCTGTCAAAAAATCTATTTCGCGCTCAGCACTCACTCGAAATAAGACTCATCAAAAGTTCCCCGAATTGGACTCACTCGGACTCAAACTCAAAAAAATATTACTCTCCCGGAACTATCTCAGACTCAGGCTTGATCTAAGCCTGAGTCAGCAGACGCATAAGTAAGTTTGCCTGCGGACCTGTGGCGAACACGATTATATAAATATATCTATATTTACAGGGTGTCCCACATAACTTGAGCCCCAAGAATTCGAAATAGAAAGGAACTTAAGAGGCGAATCGAACCAAGCGCATACTACTCGCACTAGCCTGTAGTTACTCAGGCTATTTTTTATTTCTCTTCATACTAATTAATTAATAATTTTTGATTACCTAATTTTCAAAGTATGGGCTGGCAACCTAAAATAGGAACACTGATATGTGGAGCACTTTTAGAAACCACCGACAAAATAGTTTCCTGTACGATACGTCTCCCGCTGTTATTTTTTCCACGTTATAAAGAAAGCACGAGAGACGTGAAAAGAAGCCGTGTGACGGACCGCGAGCGCACTGCTATGGTGCTGCTATAGGCTTGCTTTACAACGTGGAAAAAATAACAACGCTAGACGTATCGTACAGAAAACAATATTGTCGGTGGGTTCTGGAAGTTCTCTACATCTGAGTGTTCATATTTTGGGTTTCCCATCCATAATTTTAAAAATAGGTGATTGAAAATTATTAAAGAATTATTATGGGGAGAAATAAAAATAGCCTGCGTACCTACAGGCTAGTGCGAGCAGTACGCGTTTGGTTCAATTCGCCACTGAAGTGTCTTTCATTTTCAAATTCTTGCCTGAAGTTATGTGGGACACCCTGTATGTAATAGTTTGCAGGTGCCAAAGGACAAAGGACAGGACGGGGCAATTATAATGTATTACTAGAGTCGTATAGCTTACAGCAGTGGCACTGTGCACAAAGAACACAAACAGACTTTCGTTTCGTACACTTGGCGTAAAATTGCAAACGATAGCTCTGGTCCGTGACGTTGACAGCGTTGCTCTGAGAATCGATTTACACAACCAGTGTGCCTGCGTACGATCGAGCTTGAAACCTGAGTTGCGGCTTAACGCGAGGCTCTCTCTTTGCTTATTTGCAGGACGTCCGCCTTGCAACACATGCTATGAATGCCTTGCAGGGCTGTGTACTGTTCTCCTCAGATCGAGGTGGAGTCCGCATTGAATTCGCCAAAAACAAGATGGGAGAGGTGAGAATGCAATGTCCACGAAAGAACACGTCAAGGTGATGGAAGAACGGACGCGGACCATAGTAAAGATGTTCCCGAGAAGCCTTATCCGGCAGGAAGGCCTTAAATGCAGTCCACGAGAAAACAAGTTGGTTGCGCTGACAGCGTGCCTGTGAGCATCTGTGCTATGGTCGACGTCTCTTCACTTATCCATGACTGCTCGCCCCTTTCACAAAAGCCCCTCTCCCAAACACTCCCTCGCTCCCGATTTTAATATCGTCAGACAATGAAAAGGTTGAGCGGAAACATAAAAGGAAAGGATGCGACCCATTTGACAAGTAGCTATAGCATATTGCGTTTGACGGCAGTAACGAAATGTACTACAGTATAGGAACAAGCCACATGCTACACAGGGGCGGGATGCTGAACAAGCAGAAAACATGCGCTCACATTGGGTGTTGTGATTTGAAAGTGGCAAAATTTGAATGAGTAGCACGTCTCCAGGAGTGAATTCTCGGCTTCATAAGCTAGACTAACTCTAGACGGATATTCTACAATTTTCTTCACAGTCTGCATGCCCTGAACCATTGTCTATACTGTGCACCTATCCCTGAGTGATTTTGGGCTGCTTGTAAGATAATTTCGCAACATCAGAACTAAAAGATTGTATGCTGAAAAGCTAATTACTACAGAAATAGCGTAGGTTGCTAAAAAAGGGTGAAATTATAATGATGGACACTTTATAAGTGCAGACAAGTTTTGGTAGTTGCAGCCTCGGCTTTCTCTGGCGACTGCACAAGCAAGTATGTATGGGTATTACGCGTAAAATATTTTGAGGCACTAACACTTAACTTAACTCTTTGTTTTAGCTTGGAACGTACGAGTATAAGTGTTTTTCAGTGGTTTACGGAGGTTATTCGTCACCTAAGTCCCGTCATTCTCAAAACATCGACTTTTGTGGCATTGCTGCGTCGGATTCACTCGTGTATATGCGTATAAACGTCGGTCGTGGTGCAACAGTTTCTTTAAGCTGCATGTCAACATGACCTGAGAAAAGAAGGGCCCGTCTGATGTCTTCCTAGATATCACAGTGACGTTTGCTACCGATTCTTGCATGTGTTTTTTTAACGAAAACACACGTTGATGCTTCGAGAGTTTCTATCATTATGGACTTTACACCAGACATAAACTGACACCTTGCGACAGCTCGGCTACATTTCTCTTGGAACTGTTCAAGTTCCTGAGTAGCAAGTACAAAGTGACATTTGCTACAGATACCCAATAGACAAATGAAACAATTATATCTTCACTAAGTATGTTTCAGCTGGCCCTGCGAATGTATTGATATAACCTTGCTCTGTGATTACGGTAATACGTGGTTTCAGCGTGAGCTTCGTAATTATACGTAGTGCACAGGATGAGTAAGGGTTGCAGCAGTGAGACGGAGAAAAATAAAGCGTTTTATTTAAAATTTTACATAAACAAAACATGTGGGAGGTTACCCTAGTCCTGAGACCAACTTACAGAGAAGTTTAGGACGGCAAGGCAAAGAGCATGTTAGTAGGTTCATCATACGTGGGCACAACGGCACGAACAGATTACATGGACACATCTCATGTGCCTATTACATGGGAACAGCAACACAGACAGACCTATTGATAGATAGCGATTGTTTTTTTGCCGCTGTGTTTCTTTTGTTTGCTCTCTTATCCACATTGCTGTCTCACAGTCTCCGCTTGCAATAAAGTTGTGTTCTCTCTCTCTTTTGCTCTTCACCCTTTACTTATCACCTTTAACTGCTTCGCTCATTGCAAATTCTTGAACTAATTCTCAAGTTTCATTGCTAACTTCTACGTTAATGTCCCATATGCATATACTGGAAGAATGCAACGATCACAACTCCTCAAAGGTAGCTGTGAGGTTCCGGTTATGACTTGGTAGTCTGTCCTATGTGTTCAAGAGGAGGGTATGTCAAGAAAATGAAGCACAAAGGAAGATAACAAATATATTTTAGGTGGCGTGATTAAATGTGAAAATTATTGCTGTGAGGTGGTAGTAGCTGGTACGAAAGAGAAGGGATTGGAAATCGCCGAGAAAGTCCTTCGTCATGCCACGGACATGACCAGGCTGATGTTAATGATGATGAGTGATGACTCAAAACTGCTCAAAACGTATTGTTGGGCTAGTTGGTTAAACAATATTCTAGTTGTAACTGCGTGAATGTGGCTCGTTCTATTTTCGATTTAATCATACGCTTCAGTCTAGACATTAGGGTCCCTAATTTGCTTCAAAGAACACATGTTGCGGTTCGGGTGCAATGCTTCGTCACTCAATCGAAATCATATATGCGGTTGACTTGCGAGGAAAGTGACAAACTACTTTGTGACACAGAAGCGTAAATTGTGCAATATATTTGATTCCTCAAAAGCTGATTCACTATGTTTTGTAATGCTCAGAACAATAATTCCTGGTGGTAGTAGCGTATGTACGATACCGCGTGCAAGATTTTGTGAATTTTACTAACCAAGAGACAAGATTGCATTTGTAATCAATTATCGTATCTTATCATCGTCTGATGAACCAACTTGAAAAGCGCGTCTCATTAGCGACAGTTTAGCATACCGCGCAAGTCGTTCTTACTCGTCTGCTATGCAATATAAATGCCGTAACACAACTAATCTGGAAGTGAAACTTCTGTTTTGCCTTCCTGAACCTGTCTTCGAATTTAAAATTTCGCGTACGGTCAAGTTCTGTTTCCAGAAGGCGAAAGCTAAGCAAATGCTACAACAGGTCTAAGAAATTGTGCTGATGGAGCACTGTGCGCATAAAAGTGCATCCACGAAGCAGTAACGAACAAAAAAAAAAGAAAGAAAAAGATACGATTATTCGTATAAACGAAATTTTGCATTGGGTGCATAATACACAATACCCTGCAAAGTGGTCAACGCACCAGTGATTACATTCACGAAGAGATAGTTTTTGAGTTTAGTGTCGTCACCCTAGAAAGCGGCATAACTGTGGGAGAAAACACTGAAGTCGCAGCTAATGAAGTCAGGCTTCTATAGCACATGGCGTGAGCTTACTCATCCTGGTTGACCAATCGACTGTTCACGAGGGTGTGGATAAAACTGTGTTTCATGCCTCGCTACGTGCCCTGCTGGAGCATCTGCGGAGCGATGTTCGCGACGCAATTTAGCGTGCACTCCATGAAACTCGGTTGCGGCCTCAAGAATTGATTGATTTGTGGGGTTTAACGTCCCAAAACCAGCATATGATTATGAGAGACGCCGTAGTGGAGGGCTCCGGAAATTTCACCACCTGGGGTTCTTTAACGTGCACCCAAATCTGAGCACACGGGCCTACAACGTTTCCGCCTCCATCGGAAGCGGCTTCAAGAACGGAGTGCACATACCGCAGCGTTATTTTCTGTTGTCCTCGCTGCTATTTTTAAGTGGTCAGACATCAAGCACGGACAAAGCTGCTGCAAACATTACCTTGCAATCGCAAGATGGACTACCCGTGCAATTGAAATGTCTCAGGCACTAATGATGAAAAGAAGCTTCACGAACGAATGAAAACGCTACTATTTCAAGTTAACGTGGAGGAAGAGAAAGCGCTAGTTTCAGTTCGACGAAAGTTCTGTCATATATAAGTTTCACTATCACATTGATGGTTTCTACGGAAAGACTTCGTGCAGGGCGGGGAACTTGTATGACTGATCGAAAACTTGCACTCTTTATGCTAAAAGAGTCCTTCAGCCTTCAATTCTAGGGCGAATCATTCTTCGGTATTATTATACAGCGGCTTTTGTCTGCAGATAATGCTGGATTGTACAGATATGAATGGGAATCAAGCTTACCAGTTTTACAAATTTCCAACAAACTTAAGAAGTGCTTGTTCCAAACCGTTTTAAGTTTCACGCCGTAAAAATAAATACGGATGTTTTCTAATAATGTTTTCTCTGAGCCACGTACAAGTGTTTTAAATAAACGATCGATTGCTCTTACGTAGCACCTTGAAAGTTCAGCTTGTGTGAGATCTGTTACAAAGAATGCTCACCGTTTTTACTTACGCCGAAACATTAGGTCTACAATATACAAAACACCCATTTCATGGCCCATTAGGTATTGAAGTTTATACGCTCACATCATGATCATTCATATGTTTCAGCCACGCTTTTCAATGGTATTGCCACTAAAATTCTCGCTTTTCTGGTTTGCTCTGTCTCTGCAGGTATCCCGTGAATGATGATCTGGAACAGTCGAGAAAACGCTTCAAGTTTCCTTAGGATGAATCTCGGTGTGTGCTCGAGGGGTGTACACAGCATGCTGCAATGCAAGCAACCAAAGGCTTGGATGATATTTTCAGTACACTGCATTAATTGCGTTTCCCGCGGGAGACGCACAAATAGTTTGTGATGAAAAAAAAGAGTTATTTAGGCAAGCGATGAGTGTTTAGTGAATGTCATTGTTTTTTTTCCTATCATTTTTCTTTGTATAACGCGACTATCTAATTGTCTTGCTAACCTTAATGTGCTTCGGCGAATCGCCACATCGCTGCTTCTATCCGTGTGAGACGATGATACTGTGTCGGTGTGATAGATGAGTCTATTATAGATTAGTCTTTGTGCGCAGAGCGCTAGGTTGGCTGCCATCAGAGAGCCCTGCTATACTCTGAAATATTGTTTTTCAGAATGTACGAGTGCGCAATTTGTGTTTCTTTATAGCGTTTCTTTTTTGTTGTTTTAAGAGAAGTCTGCAAGCTGTCTTTTATGATACAGTGCGTCCCGAAATTTCGTGCTTACCTTTGTCGTGGTTGTGCCATGCGTTGAATCATCCTTTGCTCGAAAAAAAAAAAGCTGCGGAGAACAGATATTTGTGAACTCTGCAGGATACTCCTAAGTACGGATAGCTAACGGAGCTATCGCGAGTACATGTTGACACCAAAGAGACAGCTTTCTGAACCGAAATAAACAGAAAACAAGGAAAATTGGGTTCACAATGTTGTACTAGTCACAGTGTACAAAGAAAAAACTGTAACCACTATTTATAGCGAGGCGATTTTTATCCTGTGTGTCATTAGGGTATATCCTAAATTTACAGCCTAATTTATATAAATAGTAGTGTGAGTTTTTATTGTGCTAGCGCCCGAACTCGGATGCGGACTGTGTTTAAAAATACTACTGTGGACAAGGAAAACGTAACTATAGGTTTCAGTAACATACCTTGCTTCAGAGATGTATTTATGTGAGGCAGACACATTCCCAGTGACCTCTGAATCCAACTGACCTTGTGTATTTTTTAAAACTCATTACTAATGCCTTTTCTCTATCAATAATCATTTGATTTTCATTACTTTTGGATCGTGCCGATAAGTTTTGTTTTGTTATGTAATTTACAAGTGCTATTTTTTTTCATTCATAACCAATGAATATGCTACCAGTAGTTCTGACCATTTCTTTGCATGATTATTCTGTACTGTATTTTTTGTTACTAAAGCTATTTAATTACATAACCTTGATTTTGAGTCTTTTTTGTTTTTAAATTCGGCATGAATACCTTTAAGATGAAGATTTCTTTGAAAAGACTTATTTTTGAAGTCGGGAGAAGCAGGGGGGACGTGTGAGTTAACGTGTTATTATTCGTCATCGCTCGGCCTTTGGAAAAAGACCGCGACGTAACCGAGGCCCAGTTGCGAAGTGTACTCGAATCAAAAGTGCGAGAAAATAAGCCAGTGAATACATCTAGACACCTTACGATATCGTACCGTACCAACAATACAGGCTTGAAGAGTGACAAATCACCGTGATCGTAAAAAAATTGCGCCACGAAGATCATTTGCTACAACGTCGGGCTTACCTGGCGATTGCATTTATGTCAAATCTTGCTCAAGGTGATCTATATACGACGAGCACATTTTGAACTGGCACTTTCTCACAAAAGAAATGACCTAAAAACGATGCCTTATCGCTACGCGTTCAGCGCTCAAAGAGAACCTATATTGACGGCCATGTTAGCACATTGTTAACGGCTGCTGAACGCGTGGTATACGAGCCTTTTTAAATTTGGTCGTACAAACGCACAATTGACGCGCGGCACCTTCACTTGCACCCTGTCAGGGATTACAGAAGTTCGTCACTTTGATCGGTATTCTCGGGTCACTGCGAAAATTCACATGTTGATAATGTAGTTCGAAGAAACTGAGTACTGCACCTGGCACCTGTGTTTAGTGTCGTAGGTTGTAGAAACACAGACAAGTAACACTATTGTTGGAGGAGCTGGTTGAGAGAACAAAAAAGAATGTGCCTCAAGAAGACCAAGGGACCATCGGTGTTTCTTTTTTTTTCCAGTCAGCTCACGAGTAGCTTGACAGAAATTACCATCCTTACTTGCTCATCATCTGAGAGTTAAAAAAGAAACAAACAAAAGAGACACGTATAAACAATGATACCCTCAATTGCGTATCTTGTTTCCCAAGTTGGACACAAGATCCGATAATGTTTGGCTAGAATACAAATTTACTTTTTCCCGTCGCTTGAAGTACACGAAATATTAAACAAACGTGCGTTTACGTAGGAGAAGTTATGATTAGTGTATAAAGTCATTGATTCATAGTGAATACACAAGAAAGGAGCTTTGGCTGAAGAATTTTAGGAGCGGTTGAAATATGAGCAATATGACCAAACTACTGACATTGTTCGAGCCTATACATTTTACACAATAACGATTATAAAGTCGTTCCTGCAAGAAAGCTAATGGCTCTATTTCTTTGTCATAGACAGGAGTACTTGATGAATGGCTTCGATTGGAGAGACTTCGTAAGTTCCGACGTGTTTTCGCACTGCGTTAAGAAAAGCACGCACTGCCAAAGCGTGTTCGTGCGGATACGGATCCGTGACCTGATTTCTCTACATTTCCGCTGGTTCTCCATCTTCAGCATGCCTCCTCGCGCCTTCATTCAGAAAGCATGTAGTTTTTGCATTGAGGAGAAGCTATCTTCATGTCACCGCGAGTACAGTTTGTGAACAGCAGCGCCATCGGCTTGCTTGTAAACGGTTCTCTTCAAAAACCACTTGTTTGCGCCGCATATGTCATCATTCGCCTGTTTTTCCCATCTCATATAGGCACCCTCTGCTTCATTTTTTTCTTCTAGAACCTTTCCTGGCAGTACAGCTTTGAATGTGGTCGTTAAATGACAGGCAGCACAGTTCCACGGCATCCGTTCCCCTGTTAACGTGTACCTCAGCGTTATTGTCTAATGAGCTCAGCCTTTAAGAAATAGCTGCGCGATTTTAGCTCAAGCGGTGAGGTTTATGTATTACTCACTGATCATGGTTGGTTCAATAGATGGTGTGTGGCTGATGAGTGGTCACACATCAGGCATGATGTGTGGCTCTGATACGTGTCCCTGGCACTTTGAAGTGTGAAGTGGTAGATCATCTCCCAAGGGGTGATACAGCAAGCCTGCCTGTAGATATTTTCACACTTCAGTCATATCAAATTATCTCAGTCCTTGCTAGCTCAATTTTTTTTCCGAGGATCCTATCTGACATTAGACTCTGACGACCACTGCATCACTGCATCCTCAACAGAAGTACTGAGAGCTATCTTCAGCAGTTCTACAATGGCCTGTACTTAATGTTGAGAAATTTTTTAATGCTGGATGATTCAATTACGACGTTCAACATAGCATGTACGCAGGATAGCTCAATGCAATATGCAATGCTTATATGGCAGGAAAGAAAGAAACTTTTCTGAAGTTTCCCAACGCAATATGCAATTTATTGAAATGCATCGCTTAAAAATTCAGAAAAAAACATATTTTCAATAGAGCTGGCAGCGTTTAGATAAATCTACTACGTTGAACACTACGATTACGTGATGTCTACGTGCACAGTTCTAAAGCCTAGGTACGGCTGCTGTCTCTCTTAGCCAACAAAAGCCTAAAATGAGGGCTGACGATGACAGTTCGTGGTACTATAACGTCATCTGGAAACCTAGGACACAAGTTCAGTGTTATGCCGACTAGAGTGAATACATTCAATGCCACGCAGATTCATTGTCATGAGCGTACGCTCTAATAGATATATAGCGGAAAACTACATTAGCGTAACCTGTTATTTAAAAAATATGTAAAAATACGTCTTAGAGGAAAATAGAGATATCTAATGATGTCGTACTAAGGCGATTTACCGTTACTCACAATTTTTGTACCATGAAGACATTCCGGAAATTACGGTCACCATTTTCTCATTGTATTTTTTGTAATGAATACTTGTATAATACTTTAGCGATGACAATGTAATAGTGACAACGATAAATATCGGAAAATATGGTGTTAATTAAGTGTAGCATGGACGGCCATAAAAAAGTAGGGCAGAGTAATATTAACCTATTTTAAGAGAGGTTTGATCGAAGGTTCTAAGTATTCAACAAGCAAATTTGAAAAACAAATGAGCCTGTATTGCGATTTTTGTTTCCGGTAAAATAGCTTTTTCTGTTAAACCCTGGTGTTTCCAGGACTGTGAGATGGAATATTTCTCGACGACTTGTTCTACGATTCTCTAACTTGTTCTCAGGCCAATTATTTGCGACGTATTTATTAAGAAAATGCAAACTGACGTTGACATTGACGTAGAAATGACGAAGTTACGAGATAGTAGAAAATTAGGTGGCGCGAACCACCTAATTGCGACGACACAAAGACGTTGCAAAGGGGCATCAGTGGCTCGTCAACGTATGCAAGCATATTTTGTAACAACCCTAGCGCATCTAAATATGCGAGAGCAAGAAGTTCAAGCTTTTCGTAGCCGTTGGTACGTAGAGGTATGTGTGCGCAGCAATTGTTGTCTCGGTCGATGTGAACATATAAATATGCAAGTACGCGAAGCAGTGCACAGCCGGTTTGATGGGACCACACTATGAAATTGCTAACGCATTCTTCTTGTAGCAAAAGCAGAAAATTTATCGACCCTATAGCTACCATATACTGACCAACGTTAGAGCTATGGTGTCGCTTTCCGCATTATAAAATTTTAGTGTTTAAGTTTTGCAAGGACACACACAGTGGGCGAAGCAAGTATTTTGTGGAGAATACAATGTTTCCAATGGACATGAAGGTTATTGTTCTCGTGAAAGTTAAATCGGGTCTGTGAAATACACTTGCATAGGGACAAACTACGTTGACTATGGATAATGTAAGTACGCAAGGCTTTTTTAACCTAACCCCAAACATGATTTCATCATATTTCGAAGCGCTTGCTCTTCCAGGCTACGCCTTAGGATTTGCTGAAAAAAATCCATGGTTCACATCAAACATTGCGGTAATATCTAAGAGTAGTATAAGAACCACGACTAAGATGAGAACATTTACGAAGTCCCGAAAAGATACGACAATTATAAAATTCTATATGGAGTCAATTTCTTCTTCTGCATTCAGGCCCATCTGAAGACAAGCGTCCTCAAATGGTCGCCTATATTGCTGGAAATTCTGACTGTTTGTACGCCACAAAATCAGAAGACAATCATTTCACCATCTCATATTCTTAGTTAATGATGACACTTATTAGGGATGTTCTTTCTCACAATTTTTACGCAGTTTAGTTTGTCTAATAGAAAGTTAACCTAATATTGTTCACTGTCCAGATAAAAATTAAAATAAGTCCACTGGAAGTTGCGTGTAGACAGATACAGCTCGCCACAATGTCATAGGCTTTTAAGGCATCTGCTAGGGCTTACATAATATTTTTGTCGCTGAAAATTACCTACGTTGTGTTCCAAGCGACATAAAGGTCGAATAATAGCAAGTTTCATAAACCTTTATTGAATCAATGTGGGCAAAACAAGCGAAATGGTATTGAATTTTGCTACATCACAGTGCCACTCACGTTCTGGTGTTCCGTCGAGAAATTCAAACATGAAAGCTTGACCTTCATTTTATATTCCAGTAATTAATCTATGATGTGGGAACTAATAACAATAAACTTCAGACGAAATAAATTGTCTGCCTAAACTGATTTTGTATATTGCTTTAGCGCCCATTTAAAGTAATTATCAAGTTGCTGCGCTGCCAAAATGTCCGTAAGTAGCGCCAGTGTGGGGATATTACATTGCAGATCAAATACGATGAAGCTACATTGTATGAACTGGATAAGCTCTGGCAAGTAGATGGAACTCTGGCCGAGGCTACTGTATATGCATAAGTGTCGTTGTGATGCTCCTATGGTAGGGTTTGTGGCAGTCGTACAATCAATTGACGACGACGACAAGCTTCTTTAGTGTTTGTAGCGCTCACTTAGGAACATGTTACAGCTATAAGCATGGCCGGTGAGATTATTATAGTTATGCGTGAGATGCATTCCGTGTTGAACGGCGATTCAAGATTTAAAAAAAAATAGGAGCGATATGTACATCATTTGTTTTTTCGTATCTCGATATAACCTATATTAATGTCCAAATTTGGTGTGCATAGTGTCGTACTTGGTGTCTAGTCCGATGGTGACGCGGAACTGTCTAA